TGAATCATTACGGAAATGTCCTATAGGAAACCTGTTTACTTTTCTATAGGTTTTTGAAACACGAAAAACCTGTAGCATCCCCTATATGGTCGAATAGGATTCCTGACCTATTGGATTCCGGGGAATTTTTTGGGTTTCGAAACCCTCGCATTACAACGGGAATGGCAACCTGGTCAATATTGGCTCAGCATTTTGGAGTAAATTAATTACCGACTAGAGGTTTTCCCATGGTAGGAGCAATTGCATTTCTGATACTAGTACTGCCTAGACCTGTATAATACCTTGTCCAGGCCCACATACGTCGCTGGAACGTGCAGGATGGCGCGTTCTTTTATGTACTGAGAGAGTAGAGAGAACTTCATACCTCCATCTAATGGTCTAGAGGAGAACTTCAAACGGATTCCTACAGGTCCTATAGGTTCTAAAGGGGAATCTATAGGTCCTATAGGGAACCCTATAGGTTTTATGGGGAACCATATAGGTCCCAAACGGAACCCTATGGGGCCTATAGTTTCCTATATGCCCAATAGGGAACCTTTAGGATTCCTATATATTCCTAAAGAAATATACAGGAATCCTATCAGGCATTTTCGTAAGGGAAAGACTAACCCCAAGTGAATGTTGATGGCGATGGATGGAACGATGTCACTGTAGTTACATTAGATCACGAGGGTTTCCATTTCTCCAGAATTTCTGTCTGGCGAACCTGCCTTAACTCTCGAATCTGGAACGGGACAAGTGACCAATTAATATTGATCGCTTGTTACGTCACAATATTCTATTCGCAAACTAAACTAGAGAGTACCAGCCCAGGTACAGATCTGCCATTCCACTGGCCCCTGTACTACTGGAATTATAATACATATTCGCCACTTCCTAACCATCCAACCTTGAAATAAATTATTGCTGTCATTGGTACGGCATGTGCCTATAAGAAAAAGCCCATAGACTCTCAGCAATAATCTTTTGTCTTGAATGACTAAAACGTTTTTCAGTTCGTCGTCAATTGACATCTGTTGTCGTCCGTTGACTTCGGCATGTTGTCTGTTGCTGCCAACATCCGAAAGGAAACCTCTTCATATGTTGATGTCACGTAGCCCCACAGTGACTGATTTCTGAAGCTGCGCGATGTTTTCTTTCGCCTCGGTTTGGAACCTGCTGTGTCGCCATAAGAACAACCCTATATGAAGGAAGCGGACAACTGGACATGTTCTCGATGGTTCGCTCGTCGCGTGGAGATGGGAGGACAGTTATGAAATGTAGGATGCCAGATACGGCATTTCATGCGTGCGCCTGGCAACTCTGTCTACGCGGCTGGGAACAGCCGCTCTCTTCCATTGTCTACAATGGATTCGTCAACCGGCAGAGCTGGACGGAAAGTGGATATTTTCTTGGAAGACGGACATCCCGACCCAGGCGGAAAGCGTGTGCATTGGGTTGTGTTGTCCGGTCGCTATGGTTACTGCGGACAGACGGATTGGAAAAAAAAAGTGAAGAAAAAGAATGATGAAGGAAGAGTGAAAGACCGATCACAATATCTGGCATTTCCCAATAGTACATATGGGAATGCCAGATAAAGACAAAGTCAACTGTCAATATTAGGTTAGTTTGGGTCAAATAAGAGATAATAATTATCGCTATCTGGAGAGGACATTGAATCTCTATGATATTTCCTTCTCATTTTGGAGAGTCATGGCAACTCGAAGTCTTTGTTGTGTTGTGTCGTCACAATAGCAGAAAACGAGACCGCTAAGGAAATGGGCACCGTACATTAAATCGTTTTGTTTCTTGAGTGTTTTTTTAGCCATCGCCCTCAGGGGCTGATAGCGTAGTCTTAAGAACTTAGGTTTGGCTATGCTTTAGTAGTGGAACATGTTGGTTGATTGATGCGATTTACTGCATATGGACCACTGTGTCTTTCTCCATCCCGCGTTGGCCTGGCGAACGTCGTCGCCAACAGAAAAAAATATGCTTACATTTATTTCATTGCAGATGCCTTTTCGATTTGGCTCGCCGGAACACGATGTGCTTCTGTTGAAAGAAGTCTTGGATGTGAAGCCCTTCTCCCAGCCGGTCATGAAAGCCGCATGGGAAGACGTGCAAGCTGCTCTCAACGACATGGGAATGGCCGCTACATATCTAACGTGCCGTGACCGCACCTTGAAGTTGATCAACACGCCTGGAAGCGAAGCCAATTTTGATACAGAGAAAGAGCTGCTGCTGCAGCAAGTGAGGGAGGAATACCTTCAAGGATTGGCACTGCGCGAGGAAAGGAAAGGCAGACGTGCTCGAGAAGCCTTTATTAATGTAACTACAGTGACATCGTTCCATCCATCGCCATCAACATTGACTTAGGGTTAGTCTTTCCCTTACGAAAATGCCTGATAGGATTCCTGTATATTTCTTTAGGAATATATAGGAATCCTAAAGGTTCCCTATTGGGCATATAGGAAACTTAGGCCCCATAGGGTTCCGTTTGGGACCTATATGGTTCCCCATAAAACCTATAGGGTTCCCTATAGGACCTATAGATTCCCCTTTAGAACCTATAGGACCTGTAGGAATCCGTTTGAAGTTCTCCTCTAGACCATTAGATGGAGGTATGAGGTTCTCGCTACTCTCTCAGTACATAAAAGAACGCGCCATCCTGCACGTTCCAGCGACGTATGTGGGCCTGGACAAGGTATTATACAGGTCTAGGCAGTACTAGTATCAGAAATGCAATTGCTCCTACCATGGGAAAACCTCTAGTCGGTAATAATTTACTCCAAAATGCTGAGCCAATATTGACCAGGTTGCCATTCCCGTTGTAATGCGAGGGTTTCGAAACCCAAAAAATTCCCCGGAATCCAATAGGTCAGGAATCCTATTCGACCCTATAGGGGATGCTACAGGTTTTTCGTGTTTCAAAAACCTATAGAAAAGTCAACAGGTTTCCTATAGGACATTTCCGTAATGATTCACATTTTCTCTTGAAAACAGCAAGTTTCCTGTTATTGCGATTCGTCACTTCAATTTCACATGTTTCTTGGGACCATGCAGACACGGAGAATTCAACCCTGGGATCACCATCCCCATCAAAGAGACATGTCCACATCTCTTACTACGAGGGGAAAAAGAGGAGGGAAGAGGAAAAACTCTCTCTGAAGAGGGAGGAACTCGCCTTGAAACGAGATCAGTTCACCTTCCAGCGCGAGCTGCTCAAGGCCGAGAGAGAGGAAAGAGAGCGCAGGGACGAGCGCGATCGCAAGGAGAGGGAGGAAAGAATGAATGCAGATCGGGAAGAGAAGCATGAGATGCGAGAGATGATCATGCAACTTGCCAGGAAATTTCGCCATTAACAATAAAGAAGTGAGGGGGAGAGACAAAGAGGCCTTTTCTTTTCCGCATCACGAAACAACAAAAAAGCAGCAACAATGAAATGGCGACCGTCCGTAATTTACTGCAATTTATTTTTCCGCTTTGGCATGTGTGCAACCTATTTCGGCCGATGAGAACTTCTGAGTCTCAATTTTTCGATAATCTTAAAAAGACTTGTTTTATATATTCTGCAAATGTGATCTTCATTTGTTGCATATTATATTAACAAACCTCGTATTTTCCCCCAATCCGCTTAAAGAGAAACAACTGAAGTCGGATATCCTGATATTGCCGACAATGGTAGTTTTCTCAGAAAATTTTCTTTGCATGGAAAATTTCTTGAATCCGGGAGTCACGCGACTGGAAACGCCTTTAGCAGCGAAAGGCGTAAACGGATGCATCCACGTCGCCTCGAAAAACCCATATTGCAAGTGTGTCGAATCAGGAGCACATCCTCGTCTCCATTATTTTCGATACTGCACCTGACCAAACTCACATCCACCACATCCCATGACTAGCATCCCACGCTTAGCCCGATTACATGTCCATATTCCAGCGAGTGCCAGAGCCAGAGCATCGACAAACTATTGTGATAGCTGTAAGCGTATCTTTCCGACGCGATTATCAGGCCTCGCATAAATGACGCCGACCAGCACGTTCGAAGGAATCGCATCGGCAATGTCTTGATGAAAATTTGGAGAACCAGACCCGCGGATGAGTGACTCGGAGCGGAACGAATTAATCAATGCAAGTAGACAGGTTGCGAAGGTTTTGCCATCATCCTACTCTTTCTCAAAAATTTCTCTTTCTCACAAATTTCTCACTTCCCAACCAATTTCTGTCACAGGCACACCAGCATTCCTCCCTGGGAACCTGGCTTGACACATGAAACCGTTAGTCTCTCAATCGATAAAAAAAAATGAGCACGTCCGATTTGTCTCAATATAAGTTCCCGAAGGGCCACTATCTTCGACAGGACATTATATGCACATTAAAATCCCACCTCCATCATCCCACAATGGGAGGTGGGGATTGAGGGGACACGGTCGGGCCTTGAAGAGAGGGAACGAAAAATCCGGGTTCTGCTAAGCAAATTTTCATTGCCTTCCTCTTTTTCGCATTCTGGATATCGTAGGGGTTTGCTGAACGAACTGCCTGCATCGGGATTCGAACCTGTGGGAATAGAAACACAAAGGCGCTCTTCCATGCTACCGAGACGACGACGTGTCGACAAAACACAACCTAATGAGGGGGTTAATTCTCCGTCCACGAAGAAAATGTCATGCTAACATGATGCAACCACCGTGACGGTAAAACCATTTTTCTCCCAGTATCGCTGTTCCGACCCGCGGAGCGGCAGAGACATGCCCACATTCAATGCATGTATTCGCTTCGAGACCCATCCTTCATTTCCTTTCGAGGCGCACGGTAGTGACGCGATCTCCGACGTGACGTCCTAGGTCGTCGATTCTCGGCAGTAATCTTTGTCTCGAACGACTAAAACGTTTTTCGGTTCGTCGTCAATCGACGTCTACGGTCTTCCTTTCGCTTCGACCGTGCTGTTTGTTGCTATCAACATCGACAGGTAAGTCTCTATTTACGTCGTCGACGTCACATAGCTCGTCTGTGACCAGTTTCTGAAACTGTGCGATGTTTTCTTCGGTTTCGGTTTGGAACCCTTTATTGCCGATCATGCCTTTGAGAATCTTTCGATGTGTGAGGATGTTACGGATGATGTCATCCGTCTGCAGACTAATATATATTCTACTGAAACGAATTCGGCAGACGCAGCCGAGAGAGGAAGTGGGGCTCCGCTCATTCACTGGGCGATCGAATTTTTTATGCCCTTCGCTTGTCCTTGAAATGGTCTTTGTGTAGTTCTTTTTGCTTTTGCGTTGATTACAGTATCCGTCATCACATCTGCTTCACTTTATGACAGAAATTAGACTGGCTTTGGCAGTCGCCGCTATCGCCCGTCGGTGCTTTTTATGCCGTCTTGGCAGATAAAAACCAGTTGCCGACTTTGGAGCTGGCGACTTCGTCTCCTGTCCGTTGCCGCTACACCGCTTCCTTTCTCGAGGTCTATGGAAATTCCCCAACTCCTCGTTTTGGCGGCACTTTTAACCTTTTCCACTCGAATGGGCAAGTATACTCGCCCATTGACTCTTGCACTCGTTTGGTGCAGTATAGTATACCATAGATTAAAAGCCTCTTTATTCACTCGGGTGGGTCACCTTGCTGCACCAAACTTATCTGCCATGTAATATTTTGTCGGAAAAAATTACGTATTTTCATTTTTTCGTTTTATGTGGTAAAAAATACGAGCTACCGGAAAAAACACATGAAAAAAAATTCGAGTGGAAAAGGTTAATCCTAAGGTGCCCTATAGGCATTTTATACTAGCTCATCCCGACAGATCCGAAGAGGAACGTAAAAGACAGAGAGAGAGAGAGAGAGAGAGAGCGCGATCCGCGTAGGCACGGGGGAAATGGGATCCCTAGTGAAGGAGGAAGGGTTCCCGTTTGTCCCCGCGCTCCGTCTCTGCTCCTGTTGACATGCAACGTGCGACCGTTGCCTCGTCGCCGACTGCCTCTGCCGCCTTCTCTTCTGGGAAAACCGGGTGAACGTAAACGGGTTTCAGAAAGTTTTGGCTATGTTGAGTTGTTCAAGTTGTTCGAGGAAAACGGCCGTCCGCTTCTTCAAACCCGCTGAAGCTTTGCGAGCTTCTATCGACGTCGCAGCTTTTTTTCGTCAGGAGTCGCATCGGTGATTCATACCGCGATCGATTCGCCGGTGACCCTTCGTGCCGACGTAGAATCGTCTCCTGTAACGAATTCGGCATCGAGACGAAACGCACCAGAAGGCTGTTCGCCTTCTCGAAGGCCCCGTCGATCCTACGAGATTGGGAATCGCGAGGGAAAAGAGAGACGAGAGAGTTCATAGATGCTCATTCTGACCTTCAGATTTTTTAAAATTATAACTGTGTAAAGCATTGAGATGCTGACTTGACATAAAGGAAAAGGAAGGCGCAAAAAAAAGAGCAGAAAAAAAAGGAAGAGGACGGCATGATCTAAAACAGATCCCGATCACCAAGATCTGACCCTTCTCGGCTCTCGTTCTCACTCGCTCCTCGGGCCCCTGTCTCGATAGGCTGATCCTGTATATACTGTGTACAGTATATATATTATATTAAAATATATTAAAGTAGTATATTAAAGTCGTACTAGCGGCTTATGGCCGCAATTGCGGCTTTCTACCCGTACAAATACTTTTTTGTCACAGCTCATCAACTAAGAATAGTCTCAGCCTGGTTCCCACTGCAAAACTTTGATATGCAGATCATGATGGAGCATATATGCACGAAAGATATGCTGAGGCACAGCGTGTTACATCTGCCACTATGAGAAAATTACAACCAAAATTAGTTCAACATGAATAAAGTAAATAAAAAATGGAAGGAACCATGAAATATGAGGAAACAGGACACACGTGGGAACGAAGCGGAAAGTTCATATCATAATGACAAAAATAGTCCTTACGAACGGACTTTACAAAAACAGAAGTGCTTCTTTAAGGTAACACGATAATGACAACAACCTTGCCGAAGTCTGCCTTTCTCCGTTTCGAAATGAATTGCCAGGCAGTGCCCAGCAAAGCTTTCAACATGCATAAGGTCGCGATTATGTGAAACGGCTGGAATGACGTTCCTAACCAACGCGACTCGAGTAGGATTAAGGGTTCGCCGCGTCCACGCGCTGCTCACCACGCATCGTAAAACAGCCTGATGTTGCTCTGCAATTAATGCACCTCTCGTCTCATCATTGATATCTTCAATTTGCTCATTGGTCAGTGCAGACCTACGCAGCCTCGCCGCTTCTCTTACGCGGGCGCATCACATCACATATTGTTAAGCTGTTTAGCACAGCCCAACCATCAATTCCTGTAAAGGCACAGGCTTGGAAGCAAAATCAGTCGAATGGAGAAACCACGAAACGCGCCTTACCTATAATATGGAAAGGAAAAGGCTTGTAGGCCAATCAGCTACGAAGCCTATGAACCGGAAAAGGAAAGGCAGGTAGGTCCAGGGTTACCTAGCCTATGTCCTTGAAGGGGCAAAATCTGTGTGGGCAAGAGGCACCACCTACCATGAATCTCCTTAGAGAATTCTAATATAGTATGGATGGATACGTCCAGGGCAAATATGGAATGCAGGCACCCAGTCGCCATGTTGGAAATGCTTCCGATCGGCGAGACCGAATTGCGCTGCAGAGAGGTTGGACTTCCCTCATTCATGATGGTATTGGTCCCTCCCGGAGGCGAGACGGGAAGCCCACTCCAGTCTCCTTGTTCGCGTTCGCCAGCGTTCCTGTCAGAATGTCTACTGAACCCTTAACGTTTAGGTTTGGGTGGTGATTGTCATGAGAAAGTCTCGTTCTTCGCTTATTCAGGGGAATAAGCGAATGGTTTGCAGAACTACAGGTTTCATTCCTCGGTTCATCAAGTTTGCAGTGCTCTGTGTTAGATAGTCCCCCACGATTGAAAAGGGTCGAGAAGTGTTTCGCCCAATCGCACATTTGGGGGGGTTGGGGGGGGGGGGGGGGGGGGGGGGGGGGGAAGCAGGGATGATATCCTCGGGAGCGGGGGGTAGTGCTCTTGTTACCGGACTCTCAAGATTCTCTTGGGCACTCCCAATGGTTCCTTGTAATTGCTACAATGATGATCTGGCCTTCTGGCTGTGAGATCTCCCCCAGTTGTATTAGCTCCCTCATAACGTCGGGATTTAGGTGATACTTTAGGATGCCTAATTTGATCTTCCCTTTAGGTTCCTTGTTGAAAGCATCGTCTTCTTTTGTTCGGAACTCGTCTTAGAATTTATCTCCCTTCCGCCTTCAACCGTTGGTGTTTACGATTCGACGATGGTAGCCGCAACAACTAAACTGGTACTATTAATATATCTGAAGGATCCTTTCGATACTAGAACAATTCCAGGCAACGTGGAATAGTTGGAAAGCCCATATTGAGCTAGAGTGCATCCATTTCTTAAACTTGAAAACCATGCAGTGAACGAGTGTTACGGAGAGCCAGAGACTAATGGAGCTGGTTCTGTGAAATGCCTGTGCATGCGGATTGCATAGGTGCTATCAGCTGCGCTAAGAATTCTTTTTGCTTCATGACTCTCCCCTTGCTTCTT